TGTCGTTCCCTTCAGCATTTGCTATCTTCGGTCAAAGGGGCTGAAGCAAACAGACTTTTAAGTCATTATTTTAAATTTGCAAAACTAACAAGTAAGAGATTCAAGTCAGACTTTTGAAACACTCTACCTGTCTTTATCCTCGATAGTGAGGGAAACACTATTTTGTTAACTTTGTCTTTGGACCTCAAATGCTGTTCCTTTCATGCTCCGGAGCCTTGCTCACTTGCTCTTTTTCCCTGATCCCATCTGCTGGCGCCCTCTGCTGGTAAGGCTCATACAGCTGCCCTCAGACCCTGCCGGTAAAAGTGGCTTGCCTGTAGAGCCTCCTAGTGCTGCCTTGTTCCGGTTGCCTAGCAACAGATGCTCTCCTTGCCCTAGCTGCAAATCAGTTTTCTGGGTTACCCTACAGTTCTGCTCTGTGGCTCCTGATGAGCCCATGGGTATTCTGGATTCTGATTTAAAGTTTGGAAACATGATGAGGGTCAGTTTTCCAGGCTATAAGAGCAAAAGGCAGAATATTGGATTTAAAACTTTTGAAGTTTGGGGACAAAGGATGTCACTCAGCAGTAGAGCACTTGTATGCCCAAGTCTCTAGGCTTGGTTCTGAAGGAAAGGAAGAAGGAAGGGAGGAGGGGAAGAAGGGGAGCCCTTGAGCTCCTGCCTATAACAGGCTGAGACTGGTTTTGCATTTCTCGCATTTAAACTGAAATCACTGAACAAAGCAGGCAGTCTCACCATTTAGACTATGGAGTCTGCAGGTTAGCACAGTGTGCTGATGCACCCATGAGAGGTTGTGCTGAGCCTATGTGAGCCAAACAGTCACCCTTTTAAGTCACCACTCTGAGCACTTAAAATGATGGTGGTAATAATTCCTATATTTTGCAGTAAAATTTTTTCCTAGAGACAGGACTTAGGCCAGTACCAGCCATCACTCAATAACCAGGAGCTACCTTTCCAATGTATGTGTTATCATTATGTTGATTATCTACTAACTTTCTGGGTACAGTGTGGTTCTTCATTACATCAGTGTATTTAATCCTTAAATTTTATAACCCTAATTTATATATCTGATGAAATGACTTTTGCTTTATTTTTAGAGTAACTGAGTATCATAGTATCTTAAATATGTTTGGGGTATCTACCTTAATTCCCCCTTTATAACTTTTTGTGACATAAGTTTAGTTCCCATCTCTTTTAATAATTTATAAATGTCTTGGCGTTTCAAAATTGACAAATCCTTACAAATCTACTCACACTGTTCTGTGCTTTTAATTTCACCCTCCCTCTCTGCCTGCCCCAATAGCTATGGTATCTCCTGGATCGATACATGCGTTGGCACACACACAAATGTGGCAACTGTGCTAGACAGTCATCTCTAGACCCAGAACTTTTAATGTAGTTCAGAATGGAATGTGGTGCTGTATGTTTACGTCTACCTATGTAGAGAAGTTGTTACTTTTGTCGTTTAGAAAAAGCATTCTTCTTTTCAATAAGATGCTACACTAGAGAAATATTTTATGATTTGAAAAGTTGGTCACGAAACCCCTGTCACAACAGCCCAGGTTTTGACTCAGAATTGGCTCTGACTGTTGTGAATTCTTCTCGCATTCAACAAATATTCACAGTGAATCTGTGGCTCAGACACTGCAGTGGGTCCTGGTGCAGAAGGTGCCCAGCTTGGCCCTCATGGTACCCACGGTCAAATGTGCTTACAGTGTGGCAGGAAGCAATCCACTGTGTGCAGCGTGACAGATGATACGGAGAAGCCTGGGCTCTGGGAGACGGGAAAGGGGGTCTCTAGGTGTGTGGTGGCTAATTTCGGTTGTCCACCTGCCTGGATCCAGAATCGACTCAAACAGCAAGCCATTGGCCACCCCGGTGAGGGACTTCCTTAATCACATGGTTTGAAGCGGGAAGACCCAGCCCAAATGTGGGCGGCACCTGCAGGAGGCAGCTCAGATGAAAGGACTGGAAGGGGGGAAGCTTTGCTTTTTACCTGCTTGTCTTCACTCTCACTGACAAGTTCATTTATCCTGCTCCTGCAGCTTTCCTTTGCTATTAGAACGGGCTTTGTCAGTCTCCTAAAATAAATGGAAGCCCGGCAGCTCTCCAGGAATCCTCCAGGTCTCTCGCACGTGAGTGGCACAGCTCAGACCTCCAGGCTCATGGACTGAGCAGCTAACAGGTTCTCAGCCTCTCACTGTCAGACTGCCATTGTCAAACTACCCAGACCAGGTCGTGTAAGGTGACCTAATACATCGTTTTCCAGTATATTCATTATGTCAGTTCTGTCCCTCTAAAGAACCCTAATACAGCGTGTCTACAAGGGAGATGGTGAGGCCAAGGAGGGTAACCAGGAGTTCTCCACACACACCAAGAGAAGAGCAACAATGCTCCTGAACCCACCTGGTTAGGAAGGAGGGGTGAGGGAGAATAGAGAAGCTGCTGGAGAGTCTAGAAGAACCAGGGAAGGAGTGTGCAGGCAGTACATAGAATAGCAATGTAAGGGCAACATCGTTCCGGCTGCACTTGAATACAAGCAATGGAAACAGGCTTGTACTGCTGTAATTGTGCTGAGAATGGGTGATCAAGGACCACAGTAGCGGCAGCAGGGTGTTCGAAGACAGGACACGTGTTTAGGAAACATCCAGCACGACACAGCAATTTTTTTGTGCTTGCAAGACAAAAAACAAAACATGCCTTGTGGTTTAGAAAATCCCTAGAAACAGAGGGGAAGCAGCAAGTTAGAGGTGTGGGCAGTCACAACAGGCAAATGTGTCTGGGGAGAAAGGCTGAGCTGAGAGCCAGTAGGCAGAAGAGGTGAGCAAAACTCAAAAGGTGGTGTGTGGCAGCTAAAAGCCAAGGTTTGAGGAGAGGATCGGACTTCAGAGACCGGAAACGCCCTGATATTCTCAGTGTAGGAGCTCAGGCCACTGTCAGGGTACCAGGGGTTGAACTTTAGGAACTCAGGCCACTGTCGGGGTACCAGGGCTTGAACTTTAGGAACTCAGGCCACTGTCAGGGTACCAGGGGTTGAACTTTCAGGATGAAGGAGAGAGAGTGGAAGTGGGGCCCTGGAAGATGGAAGACTGCCTTAACCAAGGAGGGGAGACTGAAGGTCTTAGTTTGGAGTGGGCAGTGTGGGTGTGTGTTTGCATGCTTTAGGAAAACAGGCCCCACCAGAAGAGAGACAGAGACAGAGACAAAAAGAGATTGGAGCTGTGGATAGAGCTGAGGGAACCAGAAGAGAGACAGAGAGAAGGGAAGGAACCAAGAGGGCATGGTCTGACTGCGGGATAAAGTGACACTCTCTCTTTATCTGCTCTCCGGGAGGCAGGCCAGGTCATGCTGGCATCAGGGGGGAATGTGGGGTCTGGAGACTTGGTGCTCAGTACCTAATTGTCACCAAATTGGGGGCCATCAACTTCTCATGGTCTCTAGGACTCTTTTCACCTCCATGTCTCAGTGCTGGAATCCAGTCCCTGCGCCCAGGCTTCTCTTTTGCCCTCCCGGTCCCATGCACTTGAACTGTAAACACGAAGTGTAGAGGTTAACAGAGCTAAGGGCTCTAACTTTTAGTCACGATAAAGAACCAGCAGGTGCCAGTCTCTTGTCCTCATCCATGCCTCTGCTCTAAGGTCAAATTCAAAGCCATGGTGTGTTCTAGAAAAGCCATGTAGCTATTCGACAGAACTGCGGAGGAAAACGGGGGCTGGAGGTAAAGATGGGCTGGAAAGGTGGTAGCGGGGGCGAGCTGGAATAGTCTAGAAGCCAAAGAGAGCAAAAGCCATGTGACTTGTTAGCCTGCTAGCGATCCTCCTCCCTGATAGAATATGCATGATTCTAAGTCCCTGCTCACCTAGGAGCTAGAAGGCTTCGGAGGAGAGCGAGAAGTGTGTACCTAGATGCACTGGGGCGCAGGGTGCTAGGAAGACACACGGGACAGAGTGTAAGCACCCCTGTTCCTTCTCTGACTCACCAGGTTAGGGAAGCGCCCCTTTGAGCCCCCAAACCAACTCCTACCCCAGTCCCACCTCCGTCTCCTTCCAGGGGAGTAGGACCCTCGGGGGTGATCACGTCAGACTTGAAACAAGCCAACTTCGCAGGTGACCACAGTCGCCCTGTGGGGACCCTTTGGTGCGAGCTCTGACCCTTTGTGCTGAGCTTAGCCACTACGCAGGCAAGACCTGGCTTTTCGATTACGCACAGCCTCCCCCCTCCCAACTTGGCACCTCGATAGGGCGGTGCTGAGCCAGGCGGAGGCGGAGCCCAGGCACAGCGCCACCCGGCCGTCTCCAGCAGAGCCCGGCACCCCGGGCTCCGCGAGCCGTTTCCCCAGCAGGTTCCTAAGACGACCTGCCTTTAAGGAGCGTTTCCCTGGGCGTGACTGCCTCCCGGCGCCTTTGGTTAGCCGGGAGCCTGCAGTGGGCAGAGGAGGGAGAAGCCGGTGTGATCCCAGATCCCCGGGAGACCAGGCCATCTCTTTCAGCTTCTGAGAGTGGAGAAGCCGTCCGCGGGAGCGCACATCTTGGGTTCTCTCTGGCTCTCGTGCGTCTTCCTACTTGCCTAACGGGAGTGCGAGTCAGCAGGAATGGGGTGTTTGGGCAACAGCAGCAAGACCGCGGAAGATCAGGGTGTGGATGAAAAAGAACGCCGCGAGGCCAACAAAAAGATCGAGAAACAGTTGCAGAAAGAGCGCCTGGCTTACAAAGCGACTCACCGCCTGCTGCTTCTGGGTAAGGCCAGGGTGCATGGTCGCTCTGACCCCGGCAGTTCCCAACATCCTGGAGTGCACAGTCCCGGGCTCACAGTCACTGGCACAGGCAAACCAGACTGCGCACCACCAGGCGCTGGAACTTGGCTAGGGCGAACTACTATAACCACATCTGCTTTGTACTCGAAAGACCCCACGTAAAGGAAGAACACGTTGGGTAGCGACAGGTATGGTCCTGGCCCGATAGGAGGACATGGATGACCACCTTCTTTCTGTTTGTCCGCAGGGGCTGGTGAGTCCGGGAAAAGCACTATCGTCAAACAGATGAGGATCCTGCATGTCAACGGCTTCAACCCCGAGTAAGAACACCCAATTTGGATTTGGTTTCTAAATTCTGTATCAACCACATCTTTTCTCAGAAGTACTTTCTTCATGCAGTTTTGACTGGGGTGGTGAGGAAGTAGAAATCTAGCATAGAGTTTGTTCCATTTAGGCAACCCTTCTTTGGCGATGTTTAAAAAGAAAACAGCTTGCCAAAATACAATTTGTTAGGATTCTTAGAGGAACTGGTCTCTAATACTGGCATGGTGCTGAACCAACACATTGATCCTTTATCCCTTAGGATCCGGGGAAGAGGGGGCTCTCAAGACCCAAGCATATTGGAATCTGTTGCACAAAATGGTGTAGTAGTTGCAAAATACCTATGAATAGCCTTCCATTTGCTTTGTATCTCCTCTGGATGATTCATAGTACCTACTGCAACATGATAATAAAAAACTGAATGTATCTTGTTGGGTGGTTTAGGAAACAGTCACAAGGGGAAAAATGCCTGTACGCATTCAGTGCAAATACAGATTTTTTGTTTTTGGGGGTTGTTGTTGTTGTTGTTGTTGTTGTTTTGTCAAACCTTTTTTTGGTCTTCAGTTGATTGAATCCACCAATACAGAACCACTTATACAAAGCCTAACTATATCTCAATACACCCTTTCTCTATAGTACAGCCCACTTACATCTACTTCAGTTTGTAACTATCAGAAATAGGTTTGATTATAACTAGCCGTATTTGTGTGCGAGATCCGCAATAATTGTGACTATATGACTTTGATGTTTGTTTGAATCTGTAGGGTTTGAAGCAGAATATATTCCCTTTGCTTGGAGCACAAATTGGAACGGGGGCGGGGTTTTCATTTAGGAACATAAAGCTTAACAGATGCCTTGCAGTTGATACTGACCTCTGGGAAACTCGGTCTACTGGAAGTTTTAAAATCTTAACTGGTTTCTGTTGTGAATGAAATTAATAACAACCCTCTCTCAACGCAGGGAAAAGAAGCAGAAAATTCTGGACATCAGGAAAAATGTCAAAGATGCTATCGTGGTAAGGCCTCCCATAACAATTATTCACCTGAATGTTGAGTAGGCTAGACTCAGACTGTAAACTAAGTATGTATTTCTGATCATCTTTCATGGGACCCTTACGTTTTATATCTCTCTGTTGATTTCCCCCCTTCATCCCATTTTAGACAATCGTTTCAGCAATGAGTACTATAATACCTCCGGTTCCACTGGCCAACCCTGAAAACCAGTTCCGGTCTGATTATATCAAGAGCATAGCCCCTATCACCGACTTTGAATATTCCCAGGTAAGAAAACGTTTCCTCGGACATTTTCCATACTGAGAGGTGAACCCATTCCGAATGAGGTTGCTTTACTGGAAAGCAGCATGGAGTCTCTAAAATCTAGCCCTGTAGATTCTTTTGTGCTTGTTAAAAGCGGTCAAGACAATGCGATTGTTAGAAATGCCTTTATGGATATCTAGGTGGCTCACCATCAGGGACATGGTTTGTCTCTCAGAAACGTTGGCAGTGCCTTTTCTGGTATGTTTTTAAAGCCTTGTTGCATATAACAAAAACATAAATTACATGAGCCGAGAAAAGCTTATGGTGTGTAACTACTACCTCTGTGGGAATAACAGAAGATAAGAAACAGAATTCGGTTGTTCTTAGGCTCCGTGTCCATCTGATCACGAGATAAGAAAGTACATGTTGTAAGGAACGGTCCAGCATTCTGTGTGTTGTATCAAGCAAGATACAGTGTGGTTTACATCCTTCTCACTGTCAGCTGCTACCCATCACTCCCGTGTCAGCCTTGCCTGTGCTGGAGAGTGAGCATGAGCGAGCGCAAGCAGTGTGAGTTGTTTCTTGTTGGATTTGCACTTCTTTAACTTTGAGGGTTTGATGTGGCAGATTTGAATCAAACTGTATACTAAGCTTTCTGGGAGAATCATGTTTGTCCCAGTTATAACCAGAGTGTATGTACATGTTTATATGCATATGCACATGCATATACCTGTCAGTATCGTATTTCAGAGCTTTTGCTGCCTGGCAGGTGGCTTGCAGGCATCTCCTCCAAGTGCAGCATCCGCTGTGTAAACAGGCCTTGCCCTGCTCTAACATAAAGGCCTGGTGCCCCTGCTGCTCCCTTCCCTGCCCCTCATAAAATGCCATCCTGTGGATTCCATATCAGGTTAATGAATAAAAAAAAAATTTTTTTTTTGAGACAGGGTCTCTCTGCATTGCTCTGACTATCCTAGAACTCGCTTTGTAGACCAGGCTGGCCTTGAACTCAGAGAGATCCGCCTGTCTCTGCCTCCCAAGTGCTGAGGTTAAAGGCGTGTGCCACCACTGCCTGGCTAACAATGTCCTTCTAAAGAGCTTATATATTCATCCTTTAGTAAGTTTTTTGCTTCTGATAAGCATAAACATCCCAATATAGCCAGAACTATCTGTGCAGTTTCTGAAAAGGAGTTCAGAGTAACGAAGTCCATAAGTAAAAGAAATTTGACATCTGGCACAAGGCACATTGGTTCCCAGCTGTGTCTTTGCTTATGGGTGGCTGGAAATGGGGTAAGGAGATGGTAAGATGGGCGAAAAGTAGCCAGGTGCTTCTGCCACACCAGGAAGCCTCCTGGTTCCAGCTGCGGGACCTCTGCTATGCTCTCTGTGGTGTTTTCGGCATTGGGGATGGCACGTAAAATTAGTCTTGGTTCAAGCGAAGAGCGGTCTTCCCACTCAGACCCAGATGTTTTCCCAAAGTCATTAGAAAAGTCCTTACATTTTCCTTTAAAATGTCATGCTGGCGTGTGCGCCGTTAAGACTGACCGCTCAGCTCTGCATCGTTCTCTTTCTGCCCCTGAGCTCTCTCGGATGATTCTTTCCATCTGAAATTCGGAAAACCCAGATCTCTCCTGTGCCGTCTCAGGCATTGGGGACGTGACTTTAGAGCTCAATCTTACATATTTTAATAAAGACAAAACTTGAGGAACCATTTGCTACGCATACATATATTTTTATAAGATCATTATCATAAGCCACATTTAGTTATCCATTAGGTAAAAGAGGATTTGATTCCAGCAAATACAAATACATGCAGTGTGGAGGCGAACTCTTTCAGGAGCTGCTCTGTGGTTTTGCATGTCTGTGCTCATGTAAAATGACAGGTTTCATTTATTTTAAAAAAATCTAGACTTAGATAAACAAGAACTTAATACTAATAGATAGCATTGTTTCTGAAGATGCTATTTCTTAATATGCACTCACTCTTCGTAGACTTTATTTGATAGTTCCTGGACACATTCAAACTACTCACATTTTGGTATGCAAGAATTTGGAGGGTGCTAAGTGGGATTGTGTTTTATGCAGGATGCGGGCCAGGCGTGAAGAATGGATTGTAGAAGGCAAGAGTTGCGGTTATATGGCCATTTTGGAGCTGGCTGAAATTATCCAGACGTGGGATGATGGGGTGATTTGGTGTGGCGTGCTGACAGTGGGGACAATGAAAGGGTCCTGGGTTGGAATATATTTGGGAAATAGAATCATTCGTATGGTCTGATCTTTGCGTGTGGTTATCGAGCCTGGATTTCTGTACAGAAAATAGAAACAGGTTGGTAAGAGAAAGGAACGAGGAGTGTTGTTTTCCTGGGACACTGGAGATCACCATTAAGACACTCAGGTGTGGCACATAGGGCATGAACTGCAGGCTTAGAGTGAGGATGGTGAATGTTGGGGTCTCCTGCACAGCGGTTGTGTGGTGGGGTGGGCCAATTAGGAAGACTCTGGCGAAACACTAAGTAGATCACCAGGTCCCAAGTAGCTAAGAGGTTGTCTAGGATACCATGGCAGAACAGCGTGAAGTCAGGAAAATTAGAGCAGAGATGAGGGAGCCTGAGAAGAACCATTCAAGACTGAAAGAGACCTCCACCACAGGGCAGTGTGGAGAAGGTGAATCTAAGGAGGCACTCAAGGAACATGGCTTTTGTAGCCCAAAGGTCAGCAGTGACCTTGACAACAAGCAACTGGTACGCTGAGAAGAGGATGTTCACCAAAAAAAAAATGGAGGCAGCAGGAACATCCTGGGTCTTCTTCCGTGGGCTCTGCTGGGAGGAAAAGTCAAGAGGGAGAAATGAAGAGTCGGAAAGGTCTAGAAGCATCCTGTAGGCTCCTTCTGTGGCTTGCTGCTTCTAAGAAAATCCAGGAAGCTAGTACCCAACAGGGCAGAGAAGGCTTAGATAGGTTTAAAAAATGCTTTATCTTATTTTATTGAGAGAGACGGGAAAAATGAGACATGGGGAAGTGCTCACACCATGGTGCACAAGCGAAGGTGGGAGGGGGATTATGATGTGGAGTCAGTTTCCAGAGAAGTTCATTTGAGAATCGAAGATCCATGATCACTTCTCAATGCATGTGACCTGTATTCTTTAGCAAAGAAAGAAAAATGTTGCACAGTGGTTGCTTGTACCCTTTGAAGACCAGCCGAGGAAGGGGCCTCCCTCCCACTTTGCTCCTCCCCACAGCTTATAACAGAGTTCTGCCATGTGTTGTGTACACCGAGAACATCACAGAATATCTATTCACCTATAATATGACATAGGCTTCTTGTATTGGTGCCATTCAGGGCAGGGAGTGTGAGATGCCAGCGGACAGGCTGATTAGAATATCACATGATACTAACGAAATATTCTTGTGCATACAGCAGTGAAAATCATTTCTCAAGTAGCTATTCCATCCTCTCTTTGAACGGATGAAGCCATGTGCCCGTCTTAAAAGAAACTGAAGGAGGTCTGAGGGTGTAGCTCAGTGGCAGAGCGCTTGCCTAGCATACATGAGTACTGCCTGTCCAAACTTCAAGGCTGGTGGAGCAAAGGGTAAACACTCACTTTCCTTAGGGGACTGAGATGCTTAAAGACTTTTGTGCATGACCTGAAAAATAACTCTCATCTCAGCTGTAGTTGGAGGTGAAGAATAAATGGAGAATACTCTGTGAGATACTCTCAGGGACTGGCTGTTCCCTGTGCTGGGTGGGAGGGAACGGCTGCCTTGCAGGAGCCACAACAGTGAAGGACTGTGGGTCTGCCTGTTTCCATGCTGACAAGGAGATTGAGGCATGGTCAGTGAGGAGCATCTCTGCATTCTTACTTGGAAGGAAGGAAGTAGTAGAGGGAGCAGGCTGTATGAGGGGCATTAAACCTGGCCCACTGTGCTCGGACCCCGGTCAGACCAAGTGCTTGCCGTGTGAATCAGAGAGACCCCATTACTTCACTGCTGCCTGTAATTTCTCAGTAGTGCAGAAGAGGGGCTCTTGCAGGCTACTTCTTGTGGCTGTAACAGGATTAGATTTAATGTGATGCCTGAGAGGCAAACCAGCTCTTGGGAGATACACCTTGAGGATGAGTGTCCTTACTCTGTGAGAGAGAAGAATCAGTAGGGTCAGGTGTACTCTGTGCTCTGATTTTAACTCAGGTTGTGGTCCTCATCCCCACTCTGTGTTGTCAGCCCAGGGGTCCTACTGGTCTGAGTAGATACCCGTTCTCTGTCAACTCTTCCTTCAATTTATAGGCAACTAACAGACCCCAGAGCTGTCTCCCACTACCTTAGGCAACATTCACAAGCAGTCTCTTTTGTCCTATGCCAAGAACCAGTGTCCCCTAAATACAACACCCCTAAGGGAACTCACCCCTAAGTATCACCATGGAGATAAGCTAAGGAACTCTGACCTTTGACCACTGTGTCATCTCTGAAGACGTATTTCATGGGGAGAGTGTTTCAGGTACTCTGGCTGATTGGCTTCATCTCTGGGTCTGTCACCAGCTGCCCACCTCAAGACCTTAGGCCCCACCCCTACTACGTTATTTTCACATTTTTATTTCCCCTTTTTCTTAATTTCTTTCTTTGGGAAATGGATTTGTTCTATTTGAAGTAGAGTCTCATATAGCTCAGGCTGGTCTCAAACTCTATATATAGCCAAGGATGACCTTGAATTTCTGATTTCCCACCTCCACCTGCTGAGTTTGTGGGTTATAGGTGGTGCCAGCATGTTGATTATGGAATGCTGGGGGTCATACCCAGAAGCTCATGCACACTAAGCAAGCACCCCACCAACTGAGCTCTGTGCCAGTGCCTTCACCTCGATTTTTACGAACACTGTCAGTCCTCTGTGCCTCCTTCCGCTCACCTCCCTCCTGGTGCCTGAGCTTGCAGCTTCACAAAGCTGCGCGGAACTAGCCAGGCCTTGCTGGATCTGGTGGGCTTTCTGTTATTGCTGTTGCTTAACTTTATTTTTAATTAAAATATTTTAACTAAAATAT